AAAAAAAAAGAAATATGTATGCAGACGGTGTTTTGTTCAACAATCTGCATTCTTGTTTTAGGCTGTGTTAAATCTAGTTGTTTCATTATTTCCTCAGGACCACTTGCTGCTTTGAATGACAATACACAAAGAGAGACCATGTTATGCTTTCCGGGGCTTTCTCTTTCCTTTGGAGTATTAAAGCTTTTGCTTCATATGTAAAACATTTGCAAAGTTGCAAAGGCCAAAGAGACTTTCTCCCACTGCCTGATATGCCTTATTGGCAGGCTTTCTTTTGGTATGTTTTTTCCCATGGAACACATTTGCATAATTCCTTCCAGCAGCATGTTTGGTACATGCTTCAACAAAGCTGGTTATAGCAGACGCCTGGGAAGAGTTTAGCTAGAGGTGTCACAATAGTGAGATTGTGTGCACTAATCAAGGCAGAATGGGCTTCTGGGATTGCGAAAGAAAGAAAAAAATGGAGACTTTCAGAACGAGAGTGAAAAAAATACCACATAAGACCACAAACGTAGTAAAGATGACATTTTGACATCCAAGTCTATGGAGAATGACTCATTTTGGGAGCCTGCAGGTTGTTGCTTGTTTTAACAAATCAAAAGAGCATTAATCTTGACAGCTAGACTGATATGTGAAATCAAATAATATCACACAGTCTGTACCACACAAACTGCATAAAAACTGCATCAGTTTTTATCACAGCCTCCTATAGGACCTCATACCTTGTGAAAGACAGGTAACTTTTTGGGTCTCAGTCAGGAACAGCCAAAATTTTATGACTTGATAATTGCCTCATCTGACTTAGTGACCACTGCAACACAATTTGTAATCTTTTAGCAGAACTTTGGCTCCAGTTTTTAACAAAAACATTTCATTTAGCTACAGTTTCAGTGTTATATATTAGGTTCACATTTTTACATGCAAGATACTGCTAAATAGCTTACGATCATCAGGAATAACTGATACCTCTGGTTGTAGCATCTAAATCTAAGGTGGGAACATTAATGTGTGCTTAACCTATCTGAAAGAGAACAGGGTGAAAGAAGATAATTACGAGGAGAAAAGTGGGGGAAATGATCATGGGGCCTTTCTGCCCAATTATCACAATGAAAGAGCCTATTAATTGTGCGTCAGTATCCATAATATATCTGCTCTGACAGAAAACAGAAGCTGTGATCCTTTGGTAAATTGCAATCTGGCTGCGGAACCTGGATTTCTAATTGTGTTCCCCCAAAAGTGCTGGGTGAAAGGGTGGTGTAGGATCAGCATGGGAAGCGAGTGCGTTTCCTCAGTGAAGCATCAGTATGGTCAGCAGAACATTCAGTCACAGCCAGTGACCTAGAAATGCTCTGCAATCCCCAACAAAGCAGAAGAATCAGGACAATAAAGCTCTTATTACCCCCGGACGACAGTTTCCATCTGACAGAACAGATTATACAGGCAGCTGAGCTGAGCCAAGCTGGGCCAGGCTGGGACCAGACTGCCAAAGCACAAAGGGTGACGGCTCTACCAGGAAGAGACTGTGGATCAGTTCTTTTTTGACAGTTTATACATGTACAGTGAGGCCTCACGGTGGAAATAGTATCACCAAAGAGTGACGAAATTATGTTCACCTGTCTTGTTCAACTTTCCCCTCTACACCTAACCCTATGCTGAGGTTTAGTTAACAGTGTTGGATGTATTTGTTTACTTTTTAAAATGACTAAAATAGTCGCAGAATTTGTCTGACTGTGTAAATCACTGCACAAAGCTGCAAAGTAGTTATGTATCCAATCCTTTGATTATGTCTGTGCGTGTAATTGTAAGGTCACTTAGCTAGATTTCAGAGGACAGCTGTTACACTGTGATTCAGTATTATGTTTTTGATCATTAATGTCTGTCAGCTGTTAAGGAGCTCTAGTTCAAATGTTAAAGACGCACCTGTAAGATAAGTACACCAGTGCTGAGATACCAGTGAAGAGGAGAACAGGACCCCTGGTTTAGTTATTCATATATATATATATATATATTTTTACAGTCTTTAAATCCAAATCTAGTAAAACTATAAGATGTATTTTTATATATAAAGCTAACCAGCAATGTATAATCTAGCTGCAACATTAAGGTGATATGCAAATCACCGATAATTATCTGGTAATACAATGTTTTGAAAAGTACCAGCCTGCATATGGAGTCTTACTTTTGCTTGGCTGTTTTGTTTGATGACAGTGTTGTTTTATGTAATTTCATCTGAATCTAAGTAATAAAAAAGTAGTGCCTATTGTTTTTCTACAGCAGTTTACTTCTGATCACATTCTAATTAACTGTGTAAGAATCAAAGAAAAAAACAAAACAAAACAAAGAAGGAAAAAGCTCAGAATTTCAAATGGTTGCTAAACTTTTAAATCACAGCAGAAACCAGGAAGAGAACCCAGACATAAAATATTCATGCAGCCCACAACAGGCAGGCAGATACTGAATTCTTCTGAATGCTGACCACTCCTGAATATAGATGAGAGGACGTGAACAGAAGCCAAACATGTGTTCTAACATAAAATGTCACTGTGCCCTGGAATTCAGTTATTCACACAACTAAACAATGAGTGAATGTCTCAGTACTGCAGTCTGCACATACCACAATACAGCACATTTTTTTTACAGCGGACAATGCATCCTGTTGTCACTTTAACGTTTTGAATCATTGTATTGAGGCAGGTTAGTCTCCACTTATTTCCAGTCTTTATGGTAAGCTAATCTAACCAGCTGTAGCCCTGTGTTTAACATGTGGATGTGAGTGTGGTAATAGTCTTCCACTCTGCATCCCAGTTAAACTTTTCCTGTAAAATATGGGCACTTTTAACTCAAATCTCCCACTATTATAAGTGATCATCTTTTCTAACACTTAGGGTTGAAATACCACAGTAGTAGTTCTTTCTGTTTTTTATGGCAGAAACATTTATGGAATTGTAGAATTTTTAGCATGCGTATTTTTGCATGCAACTTTATTTTTCAGTGCAAGAAAAATGCCCTTTCTGGACCTCATTAAAATTCAGTTGAATGTCTTGCTTATTCCAGTTGTTTGTAATGCATATCTTTTTAAGAGGTGCAAAAAATTTTGATTTGGAAATAAAATGATGTTCTTTTTTCAGATAGAAAAGGGGGTTGCTTAAGTTGGTGTCATAGAAAGAGCACCACCTGTGTCTGTTATTAAAACACACCTGACACTAAATTGTTCAAAAATCCTAATGCTAAGCATCTTATATTCACTACTCACTAGTACAGTGACAAAGAAATTATGTTAGTTGCAGCTGATAATTGTTATCATAGTTATTTTATTAACCAGCTGGCTTTAAGTACCACAGCAGATAAGAGCCAATGCGAGGGCCAGTAGCAGGGCCTGAGGTTGTTAATTTTAGCATCACAATGTTGCATTTTTTATTGATTAAATTTTGGGAGGCTTTTATTGTGTAAATGCCTAATAATAATAGCATAAGGCAGTATTTGGTTGTGAATTTTGTGCTGGTAAAAACTCCTACTGTGATGACCTCTTGTGGCACGATAAGAGCCATTATGGAACATGGCACAGGATATACCCAGTTCTTTCTGATCTTTGGTGTCAATTATCGGTATATAATTGACAGGTAATCACAGTCCATTTTAACCCTTTTTTAGTTTAGACATATTTTATGAAAGAAGGCTGTTGAAATGAAATAAAAAGTTCCTTTAAACAAACTTATGATCGTCTATCCACCGGAGGCAAAGGCAAACACACATACACAAACACACTCACTTACTCACTCACAAACACCCACACCAAGACACACAAATATAAATGTACATGGAGGATGGAGTGTGTCCTATCAGCAGCGCGGTTCCTTGTGTTGATGACTGCGTCGTGAATGACATTGAGCGTAATGACCGACCGGCATGGCTTTTCAGTATAGCACTTGCAGTCAAAGTTTTTGTCAAACAAGTTGATGTCATCTTGTGAGAGACCACCGCTCACAGTCAAAGGTCCACCCCGGTGTTGCTGCTTGATCTGGTAGTGACATGAGTGCAGATGAAGGAACACGTCATCATCCCAGTGCTTCCTTATACAGTGACCTTGGCCCTGGCAAAGTGCATCACTGCAGAGGCGTGTTGCAGTGGAAACATTCACAATGTACCTGTTTATAACCTGCTCCAAGTGATGTTGTGCATCAAAGCAAGAGTCCTGCAGGGTTGTGGGATATTGGAACATTTGATTAAAATGTTATGATTGAAGTCTTGCATGAAAGATACCTAAAAGCAACCAATTTCCTATCAAAAGTACAATCTACCTCTGTGTCTGTGACATTCATGTCTCCCCAAGATATGACGCCAGCAGCACCCAGAGCAGCAGCTTCTCCAGTGGTGTTAACCAGATCAAACTGCACAAACAGAACAGAAAGAGTCAGAGTAATGTTGACTGATAGTTGAAACTCATTATTCATGTATAAGACCAAAACAAGTCTATTCCCTAAAATACATACTTTGTAGCAATTACCTAATTCCCTGATAACATGTGTTTGTGTGTGTGTTTTTAAATGTCATGTATTGTTACAGGTTTTTATGAAATCATTGTTTAAGACTGAGTGCAGGAACGTGGGTGTAATCCTGAGTATAATGGAAGATTTGATAGGAAATTAAGTAAACAAACCATGTTTATTGTTGTTCCCTTAAAGCTTTAGTTTAATCCAGTGAGTAAATAATACACTATAAAAGTTTTAACTCTAATAAAAGATAAGGATAACAAAGAATGTAGCTTCAGGACAATTAATACTGGTTTCACTTTTGAAGGCTTTTAAAAATTGAAACATAAGAACAAAAAACAAAAGCAAACAAACAAAAAACAGAATTGTTTGTTTCCATGTACTCTGTGCTCTGCTAAAGTAGCTTTCCATGATTCACTGTCTACTTTGACATTAGAATGAATAAAGATGAGGAAAACATCTGCCTGGGAAAAAAAAGTTTTTTGAATAGCCTGAAGCCTGAGCTATAGTGCTGGAAGATGTTAGTGAACAAAGTTTACTGTGAATGAGAGCCTTGTACTTAGAAAGTAGTTCATCCCTAAATTCTATGTTGGATGGCAGATACCTTTCATTCCATCAAGGATTGGTGAGGCACACAGAGCACAAATTGTTTCTCAAGGTAATACAATACTGTGTGTTGAGCAGTGATGTCTTACTTCTGACACATAGTCATCAACGCTGTCCTTGTACACAGGTCTTATGTAGGCATAGATAGGGATTGAATAGGTGCTTTGGGGGAGGGTTGATACCTTCATGGCTTCCTGGATGCGATGGCGAACAAACAAACGAGCTTTCCAGGAGTCTTTGAGGACCAACTCCAGGTAGATGGAAGGAAAGAGTGCCGTGGACTCTTTTCAGAGCCACAAAAGATTGTCATTCCTCTGCTTCTCAATATCAGGACACTCTCCAGTGAAGCCCACCATGTCCTGGTTGTAGTCATAGTTATAGCACTCAGGATACAAGTAGTAACCCCAAAGTCTTTTTGGCCTCAGTTTCTTCCCAATTTGGATGATTTGGACAAAATACCTCTTGGCTGCTCTTTCAAACACAATCGTTGCCCTTTCCTCTGCCTCATCTTCAGAAAGTGAAGTGTTCTTCTTTTTGACCTTTTCGATTGAAACCTCTCTGTAGATATCTTTGCTTCCCCAGTTTCGAATCCACTGCGGTCTCCACTCTTCAAAGTCAAGCACAGCCAGGCCAGGTCCATCGGTGGGAATATAGTGCTTGATGTCATCTGCAGCATCGTCATGGTGGTCCTGCATGTCTATTATTTGCGGCAAACCTTCATCATGCATTTCTCCAGTGTCTTCGTCAATATAGGGAAAGATGCCAAAGCGGTCAATGTAAAATATGGAGATGCTTTGGTTGGTCACCGTTTTCAGGGTGCTGCTGACAAAGCTGAAGTAGGAGAGGTCAAGGGGCATACCAAAGTGGATGTTACACAGTTCAGTTGGAGCATTCCACATGAACATGAAGTGATGGTGTCATGGTCCTGGGCCATGTGGGCCCAGTATTCTTAGTTTTCATGTATTTCTGTATTTTGTTCTTTATTTAGGCCATGCTTCCTGGGTTGATCTGTTACGTTGTTCCTTATGTTTTCCCTTCGTGACCCTCACCCCCTGTGTGCCCCTCTGTGTATTTATGAGCCCTCGTCTCTCTTTGTGTTTTATTCTATGTTTTCCCCAGCCCGTTATGTCTGTGTTCTCCCCGTGCTCTCTCCCCTCCTGTTTGAACCTCTGTGTACTTCCTGTTTTACTTTGCCCATCTCCCATCAGTGTTACGTTCACCCCTGCCGTGTCTTGTTATGATTATCAGTGTCACCTGTGTTCCCCGTGTGCATCCACTTCCCCTGATCATCCCTCATGTGTATTTAGTCTCTGTGTTTCATACAGTCTGTGTCGCGTCGTCTGTGTTCTCACCTCCATGTTTTCACGGTCAGTCTTTGCAGTGATCATCATAGTCTGAGTTTTCTTAGTTTGTCGCAGTATTAGTTTTCCCAGTTTAGTTATAGTCTAGTCACGCCATCCCTGCTTTGTTTGGACACTTTGTTTTCAGCCATAATAAAGGCTCGCTTTTGTTTTACTCCACTCCTGCATCCTCGCTTGTGTTCGCACCTGGGTCCACCATACACATTCCCGCACGGTCTGCCTCCGCAGACCGCGACAGATGACCAGGAAGGATAGGGTAGTCTGTCCTTGGTAAGGACCTACAGGAGGATATCAGGGCCATTGCGCTGACAAACAGGAATAAAATATGCTGTGTTTCATGAATCAGTTTCACTCCATACATTTTGTAACAAGAATGAGATCTGTCATAAAAGGAAACAAACACCAGTTAGGTTCGAGGCCCTGATATTGATATTCATCTTGCTTGGACAGATTTGTGCTGATGCCAGACTTATTGCTCTTTTTCTGTCTTTAAAAGGGGCAAAGTATAAAAGATGGAATTTCATTAATGAAATCATTTCTTAATTTTCCCAACATTTTCTTGTTCTTACCACATTCCAACATTTCTTTTGTATGCATGACAACAAGACGGGCTTGCCCCTGCATGTTCACGAAGTGACGACTTCAGTATTTAGCTTCACATGCAAAGACACTAAATTCCTAAATTCCTTTTGCAGGAGCAAAAGTTTTTATAAAGCTACATTAATAAGAGCACTTATTAATAACACCATATATCCAAACAAAATTCCATCTTATAAAATCTTCCAAAACAATAATGTTACAAATGTTGCAAATACAGTTACAAACACAATAAAATTGCTAAATCTTCATCAACAAAGTTTTTTTTTCCTCAAATTTTCAATTTTAGTTTTATTAAACTTGATGAACTAATGATATATATTCTTGTTAGTAAATGTAAGAGAAGTTGGGTTAAGTAATGGCAGGGTGCAAGTCTTTAGAGCATCTTATTGATTCAATGCTCAAGATTATTTTTCACACAAAGCGATTTCTCCAGGATTTAGTTTTTTCCCCATGCTTTGCAGACAGCAGTGAAACCTTATGACTTGCTCTTTTTTTTAGCAGAAGATGTGTTGTGTTCTCAATATACTGAAGAAAAAGAGCTGACTAAGCAATTGCTTGGCTTTCCCTTTGGTCTTCCCTTGTTGTATAACAGAAATGTAGCTACTCAGTAGGTACAGTTAATGTCTCTGATGTTCTCAATTCACTTGGAACAGTTACAAAGTTACAAGAAATATTGATAATAGCAATGTGAAATTTCCACAAAATGTTTCCACTCTGAATTGCCAAAGGCTGTAGGGGGATATCTTTTTATCCTTAAGAAATGAAATCATCACTTGAAAGTATTTTGTATTTACCTTGGTTACCTTTGTTTAATATAATTAAAATGTTTCTGTTGATCTGAAATATTTAAATGAGTTGATTGCAACAACTAAATAAATGTTAAATGGACTGCTGTTTATATAAAGGTTTCATATTCTACTTCTGCTTTACTAGCAGTCACCTATGGTGATAAAATGCCCATCCCTACGAATTTGAAGGCAATGTTTGGGCTCAAAATGTGGTTTTAGTGTCAGGCTTCCAATTAGGTTATGGTTAGGTTTAGGCTGAGGTTTAGGATTAGGCATTCATTTTTGATGGTTAGCGTTAGGATAAGCGGCTACTGTGCTTGTGTGTGTGTGTGTGTGTGTGTGTGTGTGTGTGTGTGTGTGTGTGTGTGTGTGTGTGTTGTGTGTGTGTGTGTGTGTGTGTGCTTTGGTGTGTGTGTAAGCCTGCAGTGTCAGAGCGAAGTGCTATACTTTGGTGAAATGGTATTATGAGGTCTTTAAGGTAAGATGAGGCCTGATTATTTAAACACTTTGTATGTGAGGGGAAGGATTTAAAATTTGATTCTGGATTTAACAGGGAGCCAATAAAGAGAAGCCAGTATGAGAGAAATATGCTCTCTCTTGCTAGTACCTGTCAGTGCTCTTTAACCATCTATTCCTCAAATCTACATCTCTCCTAAGAAGAAATTAAGCCTTTGGATCAAATGCAGGCTTTTCATGGAGTTTTTAGGACATCCTGATGATAATGAATTACAATAGTCTGTTGCCGGTTAACCTGATTAGTTTTCAAATGTTCATCCAATTGTTTTTTATAGTACAATTTACAAAAAATCTAATTTAAAATGAGTTAATATTTTTTTAACATTGTGTTTCTTCTCAATTCAAACATTTAATATGTTTGTTGTTTTATTGTGAATAAAATATGGGTTCATGAGATTTGCAAATCATTAAATTCTGTGTTTATTTACATTTCAAACGGTGTTAAAGCATTTTGTGAACTGGGTGTAGTTTTGCAAGGACCATCCCTGGGATTAACATAGTTTTAACAGTTATTAAGAAAAACCCTTGACCTTAGAAAATGTTTCCTAACCCACATAATGACAGTTTTATTTGAGTTCTATTTATTCAACACTACACTCTTGCCAAGTTATATTTAAAGTAGAAAGCATTTCAGAGCTGCTGGCAAACTTGACCCTATAATAAATCCCTACTAAACTCTCAATCAAACTTTAAATATAAACATGTTAATCAGGTAAATGAAGTCTCATTAATTATGTACTTACTTGTTCTGCGGGTCCAATTTGTTTTGGTCCAAAGTAAGCCCTCAGTGAGTAATTAATACCCGTTAGTCTCCTCGTTAAATAAGCTCTTGCAAGTGCTTGAATTATAGGTGGAACACTTGTGGTAGCTTGTCAGAGCTGAATGATCTGCTTCCTTGAGGTGTTCCCTCCTTTTTGGGCTGTGTTGATGTGTTCCAGGTTCCCTCCTTACTGCCTGGAGCAAGATAGCTGAGGAACCTCTGGGTTGAGGACAATCTGTCCTACCGCTACCACTCGCAGACAAAGTCTCTGTCCAGACACGCAAAGAATGTGAGTGTTTGAACTTGGTCATTTGTTTGTGGAAATGTAATAAGAAGGAAATCCACCTTTAGGTTAGTTATCAAAGTGATAAAATGTATGGACCAGATGGCTGGTTTCACCAAAGATCTTTACTCATAACAACAGATTTTGCAAAGAAAAGCGTCTGGACTTCTTTAAGTTGCTTGAAGACGTTTCACCTCTCATCCGAGAAGCTTCTTCAGTTCTAAGGTCAAATGGTGGAGAGTCCCAGATATAAACCTAGTGGGAGTTTCCCCCCACAGAGGGACAAAAGGACCCCCTGATGATCCTCTAATCGCCTGAGCCAAGGTGTGAAACTGGGTGTGGGTCCCAATCAGCCAGAGTTTCGGGTGTGTTCATTGTGAAACCTGGCCCCACCTTATCATGCGAATTCCTGAGGTCAGATGGCCCAGGATGTGAGTGGGCGTTAAGGCGTCTGGGAAGGGATCTCAAAACTGGATTATAGATGGCAGAGAGTTGGTGTCGTAAACCCCCGCCTCTGTTCAAAGATGGTCGCTCACAGTGGACATAGATGCTTCTTTCACTCCTCTTTCAAACCATCTGTCCTCTCTGTCCAAAATGTGAACATTGGCATCCTCGAAAGAGTGTCCTTTATCCTTAAGATGCAGATGGACTGCTGAGTCTTGTCCTGTGGAGGTGGCTCTTCTGTGTTGTGCCATGCGCTTGTGAAGTGGCTGTTTGGTCTCTCCGATGTAGAGGTCTGGGCATTCCTCGCTGCACTGTACAGCATACACCACGTTGTTAAGTTTGTGTTTTGGCGTTTTGTCTTTCGGGTGAACCAGTTTCTGTCTGAGTGTGTTGCTGGGTCTGAAATGCACCGGGATGTCATGCTTGGAGAAAACTCTCCTGAGTTTCTCTGATACACCGGCTACATAGGGGATGACAATGTTGTTGCGTCTGTCCTTCTTATCCTCCCTCGCTGGTGTCTGGTCTTCTTTTCTGTGCCTCTTTGCTGACTTTAAGAACGCCCATTTAGGATAGCCGCACGTTTTGAGTGCTTCCTTTACATGTGTGTGTTCCTTCTTTTTTCCTTCAGGCTTAGAGGGAACATGTTCTGCCCGGTGGTGTAGGGTCCTAATTACTCCAAGTTTGTGTTCCAGAGGGTGATGGGAGTCAAAGAGGAGGTACTGGTCCGTGTGTGTGGGCTTCCGGTAAACTTCGATGTTGAGGTTGCCGTTCTCTTCAATGTGCACAGCGCAGTCCAGGAAAGGCAGACAGTTGTCCTTTGTGTCTTCCCTGGTGAACTTGATGTTTTTATCCACAGCGTTAATGTGCGCAGTGAAGGATTCCACTTCTTGTGTCTTGATTTTGACCCAGGTGTCGTCCACATATCTGTACCAGTGGCTGGGTACTCTTCCTTTGAAAGAGCCAAGAGCCTTCCTTTCCACTTCCTCCATGTAAAGGTTGGCTACCACAGAAAGACAAAACGCCAAAACACAAACTTAACAACGTGGTGTATGCTGTACAGTGCAGCGAGGAATGCTCAGACCTCTACATTGGAGAGACCAAACAGCCACTTCACAAGCGCATGGCACAACACAGAAGAGCCACCTCCACAGGACAAGACTCAGCAGTCCATCTGCATCTTAAGGATAAAGGACACTCTTTCGAGGATGCCAATGTTCACATTTTGGACAGAGAGGACAGATGGTTTGAAAGAGGAGTGAAAGAAGCCATCTATGTCCACTGTGAGCGACCATCTTTGAACAGAGGCGGGGGTTTACGACACCAACTCTCTGCCATCTATAATCCAGTTTTGAGATCCCTTCCCAGACGCCTTAACGCCCACTCACATCCTGGGCCATCTGACCTCAGGAATTCGCATGATAAGGTGGGGCCAGGTTTCACAATGAGCTCACCCGAAACTCTGGCTGATTGGGACCCACACCCAGTTTCACACCTTGGCTCAGGCGATTAGAGGATCATCAGGGGGTCCTTTTGTCCCTCTGTGGGGGGTTACTCCCACTAGGTTTATATCTGGGACTCTCCACCATTTGACCTTAGAACTGAAGAAGCTTCTCGGATGAGAGGTGAAACGTCTTCAAGCAACTTAAAGAAGTCCAGACGCTTTTCTTTGCAAGCTCCTTTGACTACGATGACCTGGATGACTGAGAACCTTCACAGACAACAACAGATTTTAAATGTTGTTTTTACATAACAAAAGAAAGAGTATATTTTAAATTGTGCCAAGTAATTAAATTCTGTAAACTGTTTCTACAAATTACTAACTTTGATTAACACTAGTCATTTTATACAGACCCATAATGTTTCTGTTTCAATGTTTCTTACGCATACTCCATGTAGTTTCACTCACATATATGTATACTTGTATGCTTTTTATTTTATTTTGTTTATTTATTTGTTTTCCCCTTGTTGTGTATTGTTTTCTCTTCTTACCTTTGCACCTTTGTGGTCCACCTACCCAATTTCATTGTGCAAGAAACTGCACAATGACAATACAAAACTCTAAGTCTAAGTCTGATTTTAAGGAAATCTCTTGTTTGGTTAAGATTTGAAACCCAATAAGTCTACAGTACAAATAGTCTAACCTTTGTGGAACTATATACGGATGGGAATCAAGAACCAGTGCCCAGTAGTTCAGAGAGCACGATGCCATAGTGCAAACTGGATCCAGGACAGAAAGCAGCACACAGACAGCATGCTAACATTAAGCTAGCAAAGAATCCAGAGTAAAGTTAAATCTGAGCAAATGCTGATCTCACCTCAGCAGCCAGACCCTGAACTTCAACAGCTAAAAAAAATGATCATCCTCTGTTTCTACCTGTTCAGGTTTCTACAATATAAGCACTGTGTTACAAAGACTGGTTTTCCTCTGCTTTGTGCCCATACTTAGCTAATGAGAGGAAGATAATATGTATGTCCTCATTAGGATAGGGATTTGTGCTGGTGTGTGGGACTGTAACTGATAGGTTTATATTCTTAAATGATAATTGTGAGACAACATATTTAAGTTCATTTTACATAGAAACAATACAATACGTACAATAATGTTTAGCAAACATTACAAATTTGGTTGTTGTCTAATTTGACATTCTTCTGCCTTTTATTCCCATTTCCCTTTGCTAAGAATGGCCTCCTGATAACCACCCATGAACTGTGACCATTTCTGATGAAGCTTTAACTATGGATGGATCAGCTGAAGAGCAAGAAACATCTCCCAAATTCTGTATTAGGCCCTTGCTGGATTTTCCTTTTTTCTTAAGGACATGACTTTTAGATCCTGTCCTTCTGTTGTACATTTTTCATACATTAAAATGGGAATAAATTAAAATAAATTAAAATAAAATGTTTTTACAACATATAATGTGGCTACATATAAATTTTAAAAGGAGTTCTTAGCTAAGTTATATTTCTCATATTTCTTTATTTCTTATATTTTGTTTTGTTTTTTTCTTTTTCTTGTATTTTGTACACCACAATTGCTTCCTTTAAAAATGTCCAGGCACAAGGACTAGACTGAAAATCACTGAATAAGGAGTCAGTGTCCAAGGAAAATCTTTAAAGACCTTCAGAAAGCCTGGAGAACTTTAAACATTTTTTTAAGGAGTATGGAAAAAATAACATATTTGGTCAGTCATGGGAAAGTTAGGATTATGGTGCAAATTTATGTGTTGCAAATCATTTTTGTAGGTTGCCACCATTAGTTGTTTTAATAATGTCGCTTAGAAAAATTGACTTTTAATCCCGTTAATAAACCTGGTAAAGTAGCCATATACTTAAAAAGATCTATCAAACACAAAACACACTCATTGTCTTTGTGACACTCGTGTTTATTTCATTCATCAAATCATTCTGATTTACAAGCACATGAATAAGATGCTATAGAAGAATGATGTCACTGTTCTGAGGACATGAATGTATATTTGCATGTATTTGTATTGTTGTTGCTCTGCTCATGTCATTTATTAAGGAAACGTCTCCATTTTTTTGTATTATTTATTATTATTTGTTGATTCATACACTCAGCGGCCACTTCATTAGGTACATCTGTTAAACCACCCCATACTGTTAATGTGTCATCAGCCAATTAGGCCAGCAACTGAATTTAGGTGTGTAGCATGGTCAAGATGACCTGCTGAAGTTCAAACAAAGCATCAGAAGAGGCACTTTTTCTATTCTAACTGATCACTCAAAGCAATTTTAACTACAGACCCCAATTATACACTGATGGATGAATCTGGGCCAGATTCAAAGTTCAAACCTATATGACTGGCCTATTTAAATTCATAAAAAATGACTGACAGTCCTGCTCAGATGTTTACAACACAGGTGATGTTTACAAATGTCTTTCCAAATAGTGTCTTTGTAATGTAACAGACAGACGCTTCATCTACTCAACTTTAGATTAAGGTATATTTTTCAAAATTCAGTTTAGTTGAGCTGAGTTTAGTTTAATTAAGGCACATTTACTTTTAAATAGTTAAAACTGAAGTTTAAAGTATAGCTTGTCTTAACAATTATTATTATTATTGTTGATGTTGTTGTTATTAGTATTAATAGCACTATGTTTTGAGGGAATCATTTACTTACATTCCTTTCTGTTTTTGGAAAATAGATGAATGATAGATAATCACATGAACGAATTCTACTTTCCTCACACATTAAATCCAAATGAGTTTCATGGTGGTTGGGTGTACTAGTTTGGGAGAACAGTTCCGCCCTGCGTAGCACTGACAGGTAAAGTTTTCAGCCCAGGCACTGAGGTCAGCAGCAGAAGGGAGGCCAATAGCCACATACTTCCTATCAGCTCGTATGATGTGGAAATGGGTGGGGTTTAGGTGCAGGTAGTGGAGAGAGTTGTTGCTCTTCCGGACACAGCGGCCCTTCCCCTGACACAAGACTTCGCTGCAGAGCTTGGCGGCTGCAGTCACATTAGCAATGTAAGGGTTCAATGTGGATCTCAGGTACTTGGACAGAGCATCACAGGACGCCTGCAAAGACAGGATGGAGTTTATATGAGAGGTTCAGGTGTTCAAAAAGTATGTACAAAAAAAATCTTAGAACTTCAAGATGAATGTCAGCTAAAATATTTTATTGGGGTAATTAAAGTCCAAATAAAACATATTGCTTAATGGATGTTTGTGTCCAAAGTAGGAACGTCAACTGGACTGAGAACATGGATAGTGGCAGTAAGACCATCTAAATGGTCTGTTTTATTCTTAATTAGAATTTGCATTCAGTTGTGCCACTTTAAATTAGTTGTAAGACAATAAGATATTGTGATTGTGTGAACATCAAATGACATGAAAAAGATATACCAAATCAAAAAGCGGCTGCAGCAAATGAAGCTGCAATACCTCTTTCACATGTCTGGTAAACACAGATAAACAGTCACAACTGTTAGTTCCTCTTAAGAGAGGAAACAAAGGCATGTTAATTATTTGTTGATGCAAGGCTGGCCAGTTGTGTTCCTGTTTTCAGACCTGTGAAGAGTTACTAATATAGAGTTTTTATGGCTAAAGACAAATGCAGAAACTTCGGGTGGCTCGTGTGATACTTGAAGTCTTTTCTCTTCTCATGAAACAAACAAACACTGGATTTGCAATGTTGAGAAGGAATCACATTGCTCAGCTGGTAGATTTTTAATGCTGATGTGTCAATATTGTGTTGAGTTAGAATATCCTTTAATGACAGGAGATCTGATCAAAACATCCAGTAAATATCAGTAAGCTGTGAATTACCTTGTTGTTGTAGTCTCTGGAAGCTCCCCATATTATGACCCCAGAAGCTCCAAGTGCTGCAGACTCTCCGATCGTGCTGATTAGATCTCTCTGAAAGAGCAGGAACGAAACTTTTTTTTAAAATAAAAAGGCTCAAAGTAATTTAATGCCCTATCCTCGAGGCCCCCAAAACACCCCCCAGCTTCTCTCTCATTCACATCTTTTAGAATCCAGTATAGAAAACCTATAGATAAACCTTGGTAGAGTTGATATAAGGTACTACAAACTGTTCAAAGTGAATGAACTCCAAACCTTTATCACATTAGAGTTCTAAATTGAGTCCTTCATTCTCCTTTCAGAGCAGTATTAATTGATGTTTTTATGTCATTTTCAAAAGTTTTTAAAAAATAATTCTTCATTTGTTGAGTTGTTTTTCTGTTGTGTTCTTGTGAATGCTTTTTGCTCTTACGTGAGAAATTTAATAACTATTTAGGTTCAAATGACAAAACCCTCATGTGATGGGCTGTTTATTGTAATCATAAAGATGAAGTGAATGATGTGCATAAATGTGATTTTGACACAAACACTCACCCTGGTCTGAAACTTTTTGGTCTGATCCCGGTACAGTGGCCTGCAATAGACATAGACTGGCATAACGTAAGGACGTTTAGGCAATGCTGCCACCCTCAGAGCCTCAAGAACACGGTTACGAACAAAGAGCGCAGCCCGGGGAGAGTTCCTCAGATTCTGGTGAAGGTAGACTGATGGGAAGAGAGCTGTGCTGCGTTCCCACAACCAAAGCATCTGGTTGTTCTGCTTGTGGGTCTTGTGGGAGCACTCTCCCGTGTAGCCAAGCTTGTTCCATCCATAGTTGTAGCAATCAGGAAACAGGTAGAAGCCCCATCGGCGGTTTGGACGCTCACCAGTACCAAGGCTAATGGTTTTTTCCATGAAGTGACGTCCAGCCCGCTGGAACTGTTTCTTTGCCAGTTTAAGAATTTGCTCTAATGATAAAAACGGGAGCATCTGCAGGGTACGACTGATGGACAATTTCTGATAAATGCGTTTTGAACCCCAGTTCTGGTCCCACAGGGGGCGCCAGGATTCCCAGTCAATGACAGCCAGCCCAGGAGAAGAATCCTGGGAGATGTAGTGATCTATTTGTTTTTGGGCTCTGGCCAGGTGCTCTGTCAGGTTGCCATTTTGGGGGACCCCACCGCTGTAGAGCTTATGCTTGACAGAATCAGCTCTAGGGTAATGACCAAGGCGGTCCTCATAGAAGATGGTGAGAAACTGGCCTGGCACAGCTGCGGGTGTCGTCACTGACTGGAAGGCTGCAGTGTCCAACGGGATGTGAAGACGTTTACAGTGCTCGACTGGCGCGTTCCATATAGCCACAAAGGAATGGTTATTGATGAGCGGTGGCTCAGTTGGAGGTAAGGCAAGGGCTAAGGTGATAGATCCAATTACACAGAAGCCAACAGAGGAGAAGAAGGATGGGGCCATGGTAATAGGTCTGGACAAGCAGGGCAGACAGTGGATAAAATTCAGCAAACATCAACATAAATCACAGCTATTTTTGACAAACTCTGTTTTCTCTTTAAAATAACCAAACTCTGTCTTCTTAAGATGGGCTAAAAGTGGGCACTTTTGATCACATTTGAAGTTATTTGAAATATGACTCTCGGTGAAAGATGACTTTTCATAATTTTTACATCTCAAACAATTAATGGAGAAAACAGTTATTAGATGCTCTATTAGATCATCAGTGGATACAAAATAGTTCTGAAAGAGCTCCAGTTGAAGCTGCAAAAGTTAAATACTACTTTTATAATATGAATATAACAGGACACAAAGCTGTTTCTGCAGTTAGAATGTAAGATACTTCCTCCATTATTATTTTATGTGTGTGTGAAAGAGAAATACGACATAGCTCTGCTACGTGCATGCTCTGTGCTCAGAGCTTAAAATGTCAGCAGTGGCCCCAATTTATGTAAATGATCATTATCAGCAAAACAGGGAAAATTAGAAAATTTTAGGTGCTAGAACGTACACATAAGTGCTTGGAATGATGAACCAAATCTCGAAGTTCACCCAGTGGCTGAACAATCTGCTCTATTCACCTACAGTAGTGTAAGGACACTGCCTGCGTGTTCAGAGTTCAAGTTCACTTGCCTAATCATCATCTGTAGGGGAAAATTTATGAAAACAGACTCACTGTAGTCCCTAACAATTTCATATGTTCATGCCATAAACTTTTATTTCATTATATATTTAAAAAATATTCATATTTATGACTAATTCTAAACAGCATATCATTTTAAAAATGATATTGTGTATGAGAACTGAACATGTTATCAAGTCATGACTCGAAATGCCATTAATACACATTCTAAAAAATATTTTAAAAATATGATTTATGTAATTTTAGTGTGACTTACTGATCTCTAACCAGGAACAACAACAAAATAGATTTGGCCTTTTGGACTGAGTCCTTTGCAGTTCTTCTTTTTCCTCTTGATCAATAACCATTTATACTGACAAAATTAACTTTTTGTTTGTGGATGATACTATTTGTAAGCAGCAAAATAGTAATTTACAGTGGATTTGGAATGATAAAAGTGCTAAATAATGATATAAAATAAAGATATTTGTAAAACCTTCCTTCATATTTGGTGTTCAGATAGAGCCCTTGTGAATGTGAATACATATGTTAACTACATTCTGTTTTTGATGTCCTTTTTGCTCATCCTGGTAAATCAATATAAAATTAAAAATGACTCAAGGATTTCGCAGCATATCTGTAAACAAATTGTCCAGATTTTAAAAAGATCAAATCTTTTTAATAATATCCTTTATCTTACAAGGTTATCTCACTATTCTTTTCAAATCAGTCAACATTTTTTGGATATAATAGTGTTTTAGCTCCTACCTGTTGCTGTCTTCAGTGGCTTGTCATAATACTTCAGTGTTTCTCAAGTAATTTTTTTTGCTGTTTCATATGTCAGAGGAAACAGTTTCTTCTCTCTGGTAGATCCTTATCTAATTAAAATACTAACTGGTGAGTGGTTTTAGGGTGTCAGGTTAGAATAAATGATGCAAAGAATTTGGAAACAGTTTTGGACAAATACAATCAACAGTAAGATAATTTAGTGAAAAAGGTTTTTAAAAAGTTGCAAATTTGCAAGATGAAAGTAAAACTCAGAGCGCATGAAAAACAGAATGGTAACGAAAGTTAAAAAATAAACAACAAAAGTTAAAACAACAACAACAGCCTGGTTCATGTATAATATTTCTGGTTTGTACTGATTTATCACAAAAATGACACGATGATGGCAACATGTTTTTCGTACTTTAGCTTTGTGTCAATTTCATTTGTAAATCAGGAGATTGTAGTGCATATAGTATCTTAGTTACTTAAGGTCTTCAGTGTTTTGACAACATAAATTAATCTTATTTTAACAGAAAAAGTTATTTAAAGTCAAAACTTTTCTGTATAAAAACATATTTGCATACTTATTATTACTCATTACTAAATATTCCGAAACATTTTCTTCGTTCTTTAGAGTTTGTCTCTTAAAAAATAAAAAAATAAAAAGATTGGATCCAAAGATTGGATCTAGCTGGGACTTGATGTTTGAGTTAAAAGGGCCTCTGAGCAGAAAATATTCTTGCCAGGGCAGTCATCTCACACCAGTGACTCATCATTATCATTAGTTCAGCCTTCTGTTCCTTTTTCTCACTAACTGGGTCTGAGGTTTAATGACTGACTGTAGAAAAGGTAGTCAACGTTTTTCAAGACACAGTTTTTTCATTGTTTGAAAACCTAATATAAAGACAAAGATAAATAATGTCAACTGAACGTGAATCTGCCCCATCAGATTCATATCCAATCTGATCTGGATCAGTAGATGATCCAGTTGGCTGCAACTCAACTCACTAAGCGGAAGATGTTTCTTTGTTACTTCCCCTGAACTCATCACTTTATGTAATAATGGCAGGAAAAGGAAGAAACACACTGTAGCTTTGGAAAGTGTTTATTAGCAGTGCATTTACAGTCAGGTAACATTTTTCATGTGTTGCATACTCCTTGTTACATATGTAGTTTACAATCTTAAGATTTAATAAAGAATACAGTGACTACAGGAAATTAACAATTGCTACACAAAGTCTGAAGTAAAAGCCTAAAAACATTAACCTAAAGGCAGGCTTGAGCCGTCCATGTGACGTGCTTCATTGTTGCTTAATGTTAAATACTAAAATTTATTGGTTACCCCTTCTACCCCTGTTTTCTTCTGTCTCTTTGACTACATAAGCAACATAGGCTGCCTTTTCATCAGCTATTTAAACTGCAACAAACTGCCAACTTCTCCAAAGGTAATGTTTCAGGTTAGTGTCATTACAAATACTCAATACTGTTTGTTCACTCTGAATGTAAAGCAAACTTTAGGGGATTGATTTTATTTAGAAAAAGTAACAACATTGAATTTTATTATCTAATGACTTTGAGCCAATGACTTGAGAGCCACCATCTACCGGAACCAAATTCCTTGCATGTGTCTGCACATATACTTGGCCAATAAACACGATTCTGATTCTGATTCTTTAAACTGTTTTTGTTAGGAACAAGGATACTGAATTAGAAGATTTTCTTACATTGTGTTATGATTGGTAAAATCAATAAATTCCTAATACATTAATGAAAGTTAGACCATCTACAGTTTTATTACTGAACAAACAGTATTTGCTGATGGAGGCTGGTTCTAAAACGACAAATGGTGAATAGATATGACAACTTTGCTTTGTCAACTTTGGCATCGTAGATATAAGTATGCTTTATACTTGGAATTATCCAGAGAAAAGCACTTTGGGACACAGAGAGAGAGAGAGACTGAATAAAGAGTTTCACGAGAACCTGAGGTATCAAAAAACTGGTAAACTTTGGTAAAAAGGTGAAATTAAAGGACCTCAGTTTCCAGAGGCTGTGTCTGTCAGATATAGTTTGTGCCATCTCCTGCATCCAGTTGAGTGCTTCCTTGCACTTGCAGTTGTACATTCAGAGACAGTAGCCATTTACCAGTCACACTGAGATGAAGTAGAATCAAATACAAAATCCAGAGATCAATAATATAAAAAGTCTTTCTGTTCTTTAGGGTAACAAACCCAACAGAATGTATTCTGAAGTTAAAAGCAGCTATATGCTGCATCCTAACAGGCTCCAAAACGGTTTGTGACATCTCCTGGAAAGACTACAAGTAATAAGTAACAATACAAAAATATAAATTTGTACATATACCGCAAAGTATAGTAACAGTTCATTCAAGGTATTGGAAATAAAGGATGTCTTTAAAAATGCATCAAGTCTTTGTAATTGTGCTCCTATATATGGATGTGCAGTATTGTATTTTGAGCAGCCTTTGGTTTTTGTGGACAAAGCAAAACGGAGGATCATCATGCGACAAGTCAGCTCTGCCTTTTTTCATGAACTATAAGGCATTTCACATGATTTCTCTGCAATATGAGTTACAGTGAATAAATTCAAGCATGTATATTGGCTGTGCAATTCCATTTTTCCTTCTGTTTCAATGGGTACACTGCTGATTTAGGCCACAAATAATGTTTAGTCCGAATAAATGAATAATTGACTGACAGGCAATCATTTTCTGATTGGGTAAAATGTTTTCATGAGACATGTTTTCTGCATGTATTGTATTTCAGGTGGTATTTTGCAATTGTTTATAGCACATTTATCAAACAGCATCAGCGAGACGTTCCTATTACCGCAATTAGCTTTATGGTGCATAAAGTCAAGTTTATGTCAGTATCCTTGGATAAAATAAAAAATAAATTTTGAATTAGAACATTATATTTACCGCAGTGTTGACATGTCACATCTACCCGCAGCTAAATTGAAACTAACTTTCTCTTTTGAAGCCATCTTCAAACATATATCTTTACTAATAATAAATTCAACAGGAGCAACAAAGTTAAGTGATGGCTGACGCAAGTTGGCGCTGCTGCACTCTCTCCTGCCTCCTGCTGTTCATCCTGTTCATCCTCCCACTCTGTCCTCTTCTTGTCGTGATCTTCGTACTCCTCCTCTTCCTCCCATGGCCCTTTATCTTCTCTCACTTTGTTGATGCTGTCGCAGTTCTCACCATTGTGGCCCTCATAGCAGTGGCAGCGAAACCTCTCCATTAGTAGCTGCTGTTCATGCGGTGAATGCCAGCCATTCACAGTAAAGTCCCCATCCTCAGAGGGATGGATGCGGTAACTGTCAGCACTCAGGTGGAGGTAATGCCGGGCGTGGGGGTCCCGGCGGATGCAGCGGCCATTACTCTGGCACAGGAATTCACTGCAGATTTCTGCGGCCCGTGTCACATTGGTGATGTACAGACCCAAGCGGTGGCTTAGGAAGGACTTGACGTGGGTGCAGCTGTGCTGTGGAAACAAGGTGAAATTCGTAATAGCTTATATGATACTACAGACAAAATTTTGAGTTTAGTGGCTTCACATCAAGTTCTGCTTTAAACCCAATGATGAACCAGACTCACTATGACAAAGATTCGCCAGTGCCTAAATATAACCTTAAAATGTATAGGTTGGAATGGAGTGGCATCCTCACAGATTCTGATTCCTCATGGATGATGAAAGAAACTTTCAATTTCAGCAGAGGTTGAAATAATTATTTCCCCACTGTAAAGCAACTTGAAGAGACTGTTATTGTCAACTGGCTGGAACAATATAAATAAAACTGAACTAAAATGAACTGAATTCCTAAAGATGTGTTAGGAGTTCAGCTTTATGTATAACATCGCTGCACCTTAAAAATATTAATCACAAACGTCAGAAGAGCATATGCATGCACAGTCACCTCTTGTGATTTTGTTAGATGTTCATAAATAAATCTCCATATGCACCAGCATATATGATGAATACATACTATAAATAATTTTACTTTGTTAATGTAGGGCAAAGACCACCTACCCTGGATGAGGTCAAATTTAAATCTCCCCAGATTACAAATCCTGCAGCTCCCAGTGCAGCACTCTCCCCTATGGTGTGGATCAAATCGTCCTACAGGAAAAATACAGGTAAACCATCACATCACATCACATCACGCATGTCTGTCACCATCACTACCACGCCACCATTTAAGGCAGGGATCTCAAATTATTGATGGCGAAGTGATGATGAAGTAGCTGAAGAAAATAAAAAAAAATAAAAGAACAATAAAATAATACAAAGGTCAACATATTTGAACATTGAATTTTTAATACTGCTTGGACCACACTGCATTTGTCAGTGTTACAGTGAGAAACTGGTTATGTTGTGCAAAGCTCCACAAGATCATACTTCAAAGAAATTCTTTAAATAGCCTTCTTCTTTTCAAAGACATCAGCCGTTAACCTGCCGAATCAACAGATCATCCTCAAACATTTGGTTTTCCCTGAACCTCCACTAGATGGCAGTAGGGAGCAGACTCAGAGTATAGCCTGACTGTTTAAGCACATTGTTACTGAAAATGATGTTTACTGCGTACAAAAATTAATAATTAAATGACAATTAATTTGAAGGGGTGGGTTGCAAGTTTAACTATTACTAATATGTAATCATATTAAGAATTACAGAAAACAATATTTGCTTTTTGACTTTTTCTTTGGAACATCAGGATTGGTGATTTAAATCTTTAAATTGAGGCCAAATGGTGATTGTTTACCAGTCATTTGAACACACAAAATTACAACATTTTCCACTATAAAATGCAGAACTGATCCCTTTGTCACATTGTCCCACATTGTGTTTGTGTGTCTGTTAGTACTCTGATGATTCCTTGTACTTTGATTCCTTGTTCCTATCCCGTTAGGGTTTTATTTATATTTTTTTATTAAAGCTGCTTTTGTAAGTTGACCTCATTTCCAGAGTCTTGCATTTGGGTCTATATTTGAAGCTTGGTAATGCACTAAAATTGACTGAGAAGATTAAAGTTTCTCCAGGATCTTTAATCCTGTCTTCTGTGAAGTACATCACTAAAGGCTGCCATTCATATTTTAACACAAGTTTAACATATTTTATTCCAGCCCTACTGATTTTGATGAATGTGTTGTCTCTATTGATGCTGAAAAAGCCTTTGACCGAGTTGAGTTTGAGTGTCTCTTCTTCCACAGATTTTGTTCTGGAGCAAATTTTATGGTTTGTTTTTTTGAGTGGCACAGAAGTGTAATAGCTTGCTTCAAGGACCTTGTCATAGCCTGCAAACTGGCATCATTTAAACAACTTGCTAATACAATCTACCACCATCACACTTTTTAAGATGCTTGCAAGCCAGGCACTTTATTTGTTTCCAGATTTCAGGCTCAAGTCCTCTACCGAGGCCAACCGTACAACTTTATCCAACCAACAGAGGGCTGATCTCCCTGCTTTACAGTAAAATGTTAAACTTGACACATACCTCAAAATGTTATGGGAAGAAGATTTAGACTTAGGCCTCTGTACTCACAACTTGACATCATTATGTGCCCGCCACTGTTAATCCAGTTCAAAGTGGTGCATGAAGCCCACTTCTCAATATCCAGATTATCTTCTGTCTATCCTGAAATCACTCCATATTGTGATAGATGACAAACTGCTGAAGCTTCACTGATCCATGTCTGTGGCTCTATATTTTTCTACCACTAGTAAAATCCTGCTTTTTTTCTAGTCAAACGTTTTAGAGACCAGTATGGAACAGGACTGCACAGGTGCCAGTACTGTTACATATACAGTATAAGGAGCCTTAAGTCAATGTGGAGGCTGAAACATATTTTCCTTTGCGGCTACCGCTGCTGTACTTTTTATCCCTTCCAACCTTTATCCTCTGACTCATTCTGACTTAACTAAGGTTTTGCTTATGTGTGCCAACCACCTTTTGCATGCATCCTAAAATGCAGTT